GGGCCTACTTCATCCCATGTAGGAAATTGTGAGGCTCTAGGGAAAGTATGTGTTACAAGTTATGATTCCTGCTCCATAATGCATGGGGTCAATTCGTCAATTCCGGCTTATGAAGACCCTTGCATGTCAGAGCAGGACTGTGCTTTGCAGGGTTTTCAATGGTTGACTTTTCTGAAGTTGTTGGGTACACTTGAGTGGATTTTGACTCATAGAAACTTTATACACAATGGAACAAAACACTGTCCAGTCCTGCATCATCCTCACAATTGTTGTTAAGTTTGAGTCCATTGCTGCTACCACTGTGCCAGTCCATCTAGTTGGGGGCCTTCTTCTTTTTCTCTGACCTTCTACTTTACCTAGCATGATAATCTTCTCCAAGGACTGGTCCCTCCTGACAATATATCTGAAGTATCAGCCATGAATTCTCACCATTCTAGCTTTCAAGGAGCATGCTTGTAGTACTTCTGAAACGGATTTGTTTGTTCTTCTAGCAGTTCATGGTACTTTTAATATTCTTCTCTAACACCATATCACAAACGCATTAATTCTTTTATTGTCTTCCTTATTCACTGTGCAACTTTCCCAGGTATCTGAGGTCATTGAAAATACTATGGCTTGGGTCAGGCACACTTTAGTCTTCACACTGAAATCTTTGCGCTTGGACAGTTTAAAGAGGTCTTGTGTAGCAGATTTGCCTAGTACAACAAGTCATTTGATTACGTGACTGCTGCTTCCATGAGTGCTGATGTTTGATCTGAGCAAAATGAAGTATTTGACAACTTCAATCTTTTCTCCATTTATCATGATGTTATTAATTGGCCCACTGGTTCAGATTTTTGCTTTTTTTACATTGAGGTACAACCCATACCATAGGCTATATAGTCTTGGAGCTTTATAAGTGACCATTTTTAAGTCCTCTTCATTTTCAGCTAGCAAAGTTGTATCATTTGTTTATCACAGGTTTTAATGAGTCTACCTCTAACCCTGATGCCACATTCTTCATATAATCAAGCTTCTCAGATTATTTACTCAGCATATGAGACTGAATAAATATGTTGAAAAAGTACAACCCTGTCACACGCCTTTCCTGATTTTAAACCATTTAGGTGCTCTTGTTCTTTTCAAATGACTGGCTTTTGGTCTATGTACACATTCCTCATGAGCACAATTAAATATTCTGGAATACTCATGCTCTGCAATGTGATCCATAGCTTGTCATGATCCACATAGTCACAAGTTTTTGCATAATCAACAACGCATAGATAAATATCTTCCTGATATTCTCTGCTTTCAGAAATAGATACCAGAATTTTCTTTTTAGGTGCCTTTGAGCAGAATCTTACCTCCAACTTTAGAGTTAGCAGTTAAGTACGTTAACCATCGGCTCTACCTAGTGACTTCTATTTTATAGAGCAAGAACAAGTGAAATGCCTATATGCAGTTTAGAGAAAAGATGCAATAAGCATTGTAAAGAACTCAAGTGGTGCAGTGTGTTAAGCACTGGACTGCTAGCTGCATGGTGGACAGTTCAAAGCACTTAGCTGTACCATAGGAGAAATACAAGGCTGTAGGTTTCTGTAAAGATTTACAGTCTCAGAAATCCTAAGGAGCAGTTTGAGTCTGTCCTATAGGGTTTCTGTATATTGGTATTGCTTTACCAGCAGTGTATATAGGGATTCTAAGGAGGGCACAATTACCTGGCTCTTATGAAGGCGGAACTGAAATGATCTGGACTGATAAAGTCTAGAGCAGAGGAGCCAGAGAGGGAGACACAATTTGGGGAGGAAAAGTGAGCTCACAAACATCCTGGGAATAAGTATGCTATGGTCAAAGACAAAGCTACAAGTCCTTTAGTCTGGAATAGAGCTAATGTCTCATGGGAGAAAAAGCGGCCAGATTGTGAAGGGCACCCAAACAGAAAGGTACAGGAGTATCAACTTATTTTGGCAATGGGAGTCACTGACAGTGTTCAATGATGAGATGAGACATGTCCAATTTGGCATTTCATATTGGACGGTTGTAAGGGTGAGCTGTGTAGGGCATATGGTAACAGGGGAAGTCTGGAAGCAGATGGTTCCACAGAAGATGATTTTGCATTAGTACAGAAGCGAATCAGGGCTGAAATGGTGGCAAAGAAAATGAAAAGGAAGACTAAGAATACGCAAACCATAACAAAATATGAATCAATAGACTTGACTGGATCCCTGGGTGTTGGGAAGGAGGAACAAGAAACAGTTAAGGGTATCTACTTTTTTGGTCTCATTTTACACTCCTCTTGGTATTAACCCATTAATGTCCAATCAATTCAGACCCATAGCAGACCCTATAGGATGGAGGAGAACTGCTTCATATATGTTCCAAGGTAATCTTTATGGAAGATCTTGTACTAGCAGAGTGACTGGTGGGTTTGAACCACTGAATTTTCAGTTAGAAGCTGAGTGCTTAACCACTGTTTCACTAGGGCTCCTTTTTCCTTTTTGTATCGTTGTTGTTAGATACCATTGAGTCAGTTCTGACACACAGCGAATCTGTGAAGGGTTCCCAAGGAGTAACTGGTAGCTTTGAACCGCTGGCCTTGCAGTAGCAGTCCGGTGCTGATCCTACAATGCCACACCAGGACTGCTATCGTTTTGTGTTTTTTGTTTTTTTTTTTAGAACGCCCTCACCTCACAGCTTTACCATGCTCACAGGAGAGCCTGTCAGTTCAAAGACAGGCACAGGACAGTTAATGTGTTTGGAATTCAGTGTGAAAGTCAGAGGTTGGTAACTCTTTGAAGTGTTGGCTGTGGTCCTTTTTTTTTTTCATGTGACTTGGGAAGCTGAAAAATCTGTTTTCCAGTGAGAGGAAAAAAGAGGGTAGAAACAAGAGAGAAAAAGAAAGCAGAAATGAAAAGAAAAATGTGAGGAGAGAAAAGGTTAGGTGTGGGTTCTTTGTTACCCTCTAGTTTGTGCTTCTCTATGTCCCTAAGACAGAATTGCATCCCTCCTCTTTAATTCTGTAGGACATCCTTGTAACACAGTAATACATCCTTTCTTTTGATTAAGTTGGCCTGACAGGGTTATTGTTACTTATAGCCAAAAACGGCCCAAACGGACACATTCCTCATCCAGAGCTCTCCTTCTTCTGTCAAACAGTCCTCTGGCTACCCTCTGAAATGTAGCCTTTATATTTGTATGCCTTTTCCTTCATCTAGATGTTTGTCCCTTGCCAATATCACTATCTATGCCTCCATAAATTTGATCTTCTTCCTTTCTTCCATTTCCTTTTATTTATTATGTACCTTTCAGTGAGTCTATGATATTTGAAAATTGCAATGTTACTACATTTTTCCCTTTTAAAACCAAAGTACTTTTTTAAAAAAAACTTATTAGTAGCACAATTAAAACTTAATAGGCTAGAATATGGTAGATGGCAGTGGTAAATGAGGAATTTTACATTCTTATCTATACAAATGTAAGGCAATTCAAAGAGTCAACAATCTACAAATCTCCTAAACAATCAACTTTAAGGTGGGCTTGAGAGAAACCAGTAGATAACTTGGCAAAAGTCCTATTTGAGGCTAGGAAGTATATTAGTGATGAGTATTCGATGCAAGAAGATAAAAATGACCCTTATACAAGATAATGCATAAGAAATTATGCAGATGCTATAAATTACATCTTATAGGTATCTGGAGGTGGTCTTACAGCTAGTGAGAGGCAGACCTGGAAGATGTCAATGCTTCCTGTTTTTAAGCTGAGTAGTGCTTTTTCCACATGCCAAATGACCCCATTGGAAGCAAAAAGCAAAACACAACATATCAATTTCTGGATGGAAAAACAATAAAATCCAATTTTATGAATTCAAACATTAAAAAACTACTATATTTAAAAATCTCACCCATTGAAAGGGCAATACAGCACTCAAAGAAGCAACTTGAACCTAATATTCAGGATAATTATAGAGCAACAACAACAAAGACGACTCTTTTCTTCTGATACACCAGAGAATATCTTTTATAAAGACCTCTCTTTGCCTCTAGAAGTAAGTAAAACAATCTGCTATCTGATATAATCTCCCATAAATTCAGAATACAATGGAGCTTCCTTTCCTTTCAGCAATGATAGCCTTTGTTCTAGCATCTTATAATACTTCAGAAAGAGAAAAAACAAAATTGCCTCAGGAAAGCAATAGAAAAATGCCTAGCAAATGAATGGACATTTAGTGAGCAAGATAGAACGCCAAAATATGTCTCATTCTGACCCATTCTAAAGAAGACTCCTAAAACCCAAAAGCATTAACACAAGAAGATTACCCAAGTAACTCTGGTTAGTGCTAAGCTACTTTACAATCTGTTGCTAAGCAAGGCAGAAATATTGTTTACATGAAAATGGAATGATTTCTGGTGAATACTGAAAGAAAGTGATAATTTCCATAACCAGAAAAAGCATTTTTACATCATTCCATTTCAACTGTCATAAAACCCTGAGTAGCTTTGGCAATTTTGTTCCCCTGCTTTGCTGGCTTTGTGTCATCCTCATCTCTACAGCTCTCCATTTACTAAATGGAGAGGTTTCTGTTGTTATTGTTGCTGTGGTTTTGCTGTTTTTTTACCTTGATGTCTTGGCAGAAAATACCAGCATGTTGTACGGTTTCTAAAGCCCACCTTGCAATGCTCATAAAGTGAATGTTTGGTGAATTTTGGGGCCCTGTTGTGGCTTTGTAGGATATGCAGGGTTAGTGGTTCAAACCTACCAGCTGCTCCTCAGAAACCCTAGAGATGATTGCTGTGAGTGGGAACTCACTCAACGGAACTTAACAACAATAATAATAGATCAATTGGCTTCCACTTCGCCCCTTTAAATTACTGAAAATATGATCAGAAATATCCCCATTAAGAGCGATTATAAAATATGTATTCCTCTAAATTTCTGGAGTCAAGTCTCTTTTGAGTGTTGTTATACTTTGAAAGAAGTATAGCCCAGCTTCTGGGAGAGCAGAGAACTACAAAGATACTTACCTGCATCACAATGAGGAGGTCAAAGACCAAGATGAAAGAAGCCAGAAAGGCTCTGGAAACTTCATCGCTGGGCAAAAATCCCCGATTCAGCTTGTCCCAACTGATCCAGTCCGTTGTGATAACAAGTACAACCACAGAAGTCAGAGTAAAAAGAACCGTCCTACAAGAAACAAGACAATCATTCAAGAACATTAGAAACCTACATGTCATGAGAGTGCATGCTATCTGTGCTGCATGAAATGTCTATCACTTGTCAAGTATCTCTCTGAAGGCATAGTCACTGAATAGAATATGAGAAAAGATGTACATTAAGTACTGTCTTTCAAAAGCAATTATAAAATAGTATAATATCTCCTCCAAGATTTTCCTGAAAGAACATTAAGAAAAGGATTATGGAACAAACAACTGGTGGTGGTGTACTGCTGAGTAGGTTCCGACTCATAGTAACCCTGCATAAGGTTTCTGAGGCTGGAAATCTTTATGGGAACAAAAAGCCTCATCTTTCTCCCACGGAACTGCTGACCTTGAGGTTAGCAGCCTTGCTCGTAACCACTATGCTACAACAAAAATATACAAATGACATGGTTAGTGTAAGATGTACTGCAAAGGAAATACTGGTACGTAGTTCTCATAACATATACATATGTTGTTGTTAAGTGCCATCGAGTCGATTCTGACCCATAGTGACCCTGTATAGGGAATCCAAGGAGTAGCTAGTGAGCTAGAACCACTGTTCTTGCAGTTCAAACGACTTTGCAGTCTGACGCATTAGCCCACAGAACCATATATATGTTTAACTGAGGGTCATGGGCATGCATATGTAAGAACAAAAGGCAGGTGCAAATGGTTAACCATGGTTTGGGTCAGGCACACCTTAGTCCTCAAGCTGACATCTTTGCTCTTCAACACCTTAAAAAGGTCTTGTGCAGCAGATTTGCCTAATGCAATATATCGTCTGATTTCTTGATGTTGCTTCTATGAGTGTTGATAGTTGATCCCAGAAGAATAAAGTCCTTGACAACTTCAATCTTTCCTCTGTTGATAAGAATGTTGTTTATTGGTCCAGTGGTGAGGATTTTTGTTTTCTTTACATTGAGATGCAATCCATACCAAAGGCTGTGCTCTTTGATCTTCATCAGTAAATATTTTAAGTCCTCTTCACTTTTAGCAAGCAAGGTTGTATCGTCTGCATATCACAGGTTGTTAATGAGTCTTCTTTCAATCCTGATGCCGTTTTTCATCATATAACCCAGTTTCTCAGATTATTTGCTCAGCATACAGGTTGAATAAGTATGGTGAAAGAATACAACCTTGTCTCACACCTATCTTAATTTTAAACCATTCAGTGTTCCCATGTTCTGTTCAAACAACTGCCTCCTGGTCCATGTACAGATTCTTCATGAACACAATTAAGTGTTCCGGAATACTCATACTTCACAATGTTGTCCATAGCTTGTCATGATTCACACAATCAAAAGTCTTTGTGTAGTCAATAAAGCACAGGTGAACATCTTTCTAGTATCCTCTGCTTTCAGCCAAGATCCACTGGACATCAGCAATGCTATCCTTCATTCCATGTCCTCTTCTGAATCCATCTTGAACCTCTGGAAGTTCTTTGTCAATGTATGATTGTAGCCATTTCTGCATTACCTTTAGTAAAACTTTACTTGCGTGGGATATCAAAGATATTGTCCGATAATTTCTGCATTCCATTGGGTCACAAATACGGATCTCTTCCGATCAGTCAGCCAGATAGTTGTCTTCCAAATTTCTTGGCATAGATGAGTGAGTGCCTCCAGTGCCACCTCACTTTCTTGAAAGATTTCAATTTTATTCCATCAATTCCTGGAGCCTAGTTCTTTGCCAATTCCTTCAAAGATGTCAGTTTGAGGACTAAGGTGCACCTGATCCAGGCCATGGTATTTTCAATAGCCTCCTATGCATGTGAAAGCTGGACAGTGAAAAAGGAAGACTGTTGAAGAATTGATGCTTTTGAGTTATGGTGTTGGAGGAGCATATTCAAAGTGCCATGGGCTGCCAAAAGAACCAACAGATCTGTGTTGGCAGAAGTGCAGCCAGAGTGCTCCTTAGAGGCCAAGAAGGCCAAACTTCATCTCTCATACGTTATCAGAAGGGACCAGTCTCTGGAGAAGGATATCGTGTTTGGTAAAGTGGAGGGTCAGAGAAAAAAGAGGAAGACCCTAGCGAGATGGATTGGCAAAGTGGCAGCATCAATGGGCTCACGAGTGTGGCAACAATAGTGAGGCTGGCCCAGGACCAGACAGTGTTTTGTTCTGCTGTGCATAGGGTTGCTATGAGTTGGTACCGACTCGATGGCACCTCACAAGAACAATAGTTAACCAGGAAGTAACTGGAATCTCTTACCGTCTTGAGCAGAGGGGAACAGATAAATCTCAGAACAATCCCTAAGGTCTGATAAGCTCTATAAAGGAATCATCTCCAAACATCCAGCGTACATAGCCTCTTTTCCTCACGGAACACGAGGTGTCTTGTGGACTAATAACCTCTTGTCAGGTCTGATCTTCCTTTCCTTTTTGTAAACTACTAGGAACTTGAAATTTTATGTGTCTTTCTAACCCTCCTCACCTCTTGCACAATTACACAGAGATTAAATTCAATGAGTACTTGTTGAAATTTTAACAATTATGGGTGTGTTTAATCAAGAAAATATCTTGTCTTTGGTATTAAAGTTCAAAGTAGGTCTGAAATGTGGGTGGTGGAAGTGTAATCTGTCAGAGAATTGTGCATAATGTACTAAGTCTCTGCTTTCAGAGCAAGATTGGTTTTTTCTTATTTACATAAAGAAAAACACAATTATATTAACCAGAAACAAAAAAAGAATAAGGCAAAAGAAAGGAAAAAAAATGGGAATACTGTACTATAAAAATTGAGTCCCGGTGTGACACTGCATGATAATGTGCTGGATCTCAAGGTCAGTTTGAACCACAAGGCTGGCACTTCAAACCCACCAGCTGCTCCTCAGAAACCCTATACAGGGTTGTTAAGGGTTGGAAATGACTCAAAAGCACTTAACAACAATACAACATACCATAAAAGAACTCATACTCATTGTGACAATTAGCAAACTGTTTTTACTCTCAAATAGTTCATAATATTGTCACTTAAAAATAATATGAATCATCCTAGAATTCTCAGTTTAATTGTACAAAGCATAAATACTGAAACCAGTATTTTGGGTTTCATTTTCATTAACTTTTTATTTGTAACAAGCTATACTTTTATACAGAGTCCTGGTGTGACAGTAGTATAAACACTGGATTTATAAGCAAGGTTGGTGGTTCAAACCCACCAGCCACTCCTTGGAAATCCTATACAGGGTCACGATGAGTTGAAACTGACTCAACTGCACTTAACAACTAACAACATAATTGTGCATGCATCACTCATCTGTCAGTATATTGCATTGTAGTGGTCTGCTTGTCACTGTGAATCTGGAAGGTAGGCCACTGGTACTCAAACACCAGAAGGGTCCACATGGTGAACAGGTTTCATTGTAGCTTCCAGACTAAGAATTGGAAAGAGGACCTAGTGGTCTATTTCTAAACAACTTAGTCAGTGAAAACCTTGTATCAAGAAGCAGAGCTTTGACATAATGCTGGATGATAGACCCTCAGTTTGGAAGGAACTCAAAATATGACTGGGGAAGAGCTGCCTCTGAAAGTAGAGTCAACAGTAATGACAGCTTCCAGGACCTCCATTTGCAGATGCGGTACAACTCAAAATAAGAAGCAGCTACAAGCATCCAATAATAATAGCAATGCATAAATATAGGAAATTTGGAGATTGTCAAAAATAAAATAGAACTCATTAAGATCAATATCCTACTTATTAGTGAGCTGAAATTAGTTAGTATTGGAAATTTCTAATCAGACTATAATAATATGGTCTATTATGACGAGAATAACAAATTAAAGAGGAATGATGTCGCATTCATTGTTAAAAAGGAATATTTCCAGATCTATATAGAAGTATGAAGCTGTCAATGATAGGATAATACCCGTACACCTATAAGGATGACCAATTAATATGATTATTGTGCAAATTTATGCACTAACCACAAATGCCAAAAACAAAAATATTGAATATTTTTAATCAACTTCCGAAATATGAAAGTGATTAAAATACAATACAGATGCATTGATAATTACTCATTCAAAAGTTGGAAACAGAAGGATCGGCAGTGGGAAAGTATGGCCTTAGTGATAGAAACCACCAGGTGATCCAGTGAAAGAATTTTGCAATTTATGTTATTGAAAATATCTTTTTATCAACATCAGTAGTGAGAATACATGTGGCTATCACTGGATAGAATACACAGGAATAAAACCAATTGCATCTGTGGAAAGAGATGAGGAAAGCTCACTATCAGTCAGAATAAGGGTCAATTGCAGAGCAGACCATCAATTGCTCATTTGCAAGTTCAAGTTGAAGCTGAAGAAAATTAAAATAAGTTTATCGAAGTCAAAACATGGCCTTGAGTACATTCCACTTGAATTTAGAGACCATCTTAAGAACAGATTTGACACCCTGAACACTAATGATTGAAGGCCAGATGAACTGTGGGATGACATCAAGGACATCGTGCATGAAGAAAGCAAAAAGTCATTCTAAAGAAAGAAAGTACAAAAATGTCAGATGTCAGAAGAGACTTGGAACTTGTTTTTTGTTGTTGTTGTTGTTGTTTTGATGAACATATCTAATTTTATTATGTTTTGTAGACTGTGTTCTTTACAAATAGAAGGTTATACATGCATCAAACAATTCTACTGATGCCAAATTTCCAATAACATATACTCATTGTGTCAAATTTTGCTAATTCTCACAATATTTCAAACTTTTTGTAATTCACTTGCAAATTTCAGACTACTACTATATAGTGTAAATGGAGTCCTGGTGTGGCACTGTGGGTTAATGTGCCAGACTGCAAAGCTGTCAGCGGTTCAAACTCACCAGCTGCTCCTCAGAAATCCTATATAGGGTCGCTATAGGTCGGAATCGACTCGACGACACTTAACAATGACAACATATAGTGTTAATATAACTTTAAAAAACTTTCTACTTGGAGTCCTGGTGTGGCATGGTGGGACACTGCACCAGACCATAAGGCCGATTTAAACTACAAGGTCGGAAGTTCAAATTTTCCAGCTGCTCCTTGAAAAGCCTATATAGGGTCATTATGAGTCGGAACCAACTTGAAGGCACTTAACAATAACAACAACTGTGAATTGAGTGAAGGTTTATGGACAAGATCATCAGTTTTACATGCAACAAATCATACAAATCAATGACTGCAATCCCCTCTATGCAGCAAAGTTACCCCTCTTCCTCCCTGTGGTTCCTAGTTCCATTCCACTCTTCTTCCCATCCCTTCTCAACTTTTAATTTTAAATGAATGGCCATTCCATGGTGAGCATTTGTTGTTGTTGGTAAGTGCCGTTGAGTCAGAATACGTTACTAGTATTGTTGTCTCCTCTATATACCCTTTTACTGCTTGGCTGAAAATGGGGCCACGAGGCTGAGTTCCAATCTAGACCTGAAGGGTGACTGAGGGCTACAGTCTTAGGTTCCTCCAGTCTCTTTTCTACCAGTAAGCCTGGTCTTTTTAAAATTATGTTGAGTTTTATTCCACATTTTCTCCCATTCTATCCAGGACCTTCTAATGTGATCCCTTTCAGAGCAGCTGGTAGTAGTAGCCAGTCACTATCTAGTTCGGTTCTCAGAGTCATGGTAACGAATACTCACGTATTTGATTAGTGCATTGTACTAGTTGATTCCAAGCATTTTCAGTTTTCATCACTCTCCTTTCTTCCACGCATGGAGAGACCAATAGCTGATTGGTCCTTGTCTCTAATCACCAAAGTAGGATGTAGAGCATTATCTTTGTGGACTTTGTTATGCAATTGACCATGGTGTCCCCTGAGACTATGGCCTTGAGTCCCCAGGCCCAGAAACTCATTGCCTTAAGATATTTGATAATGTCTAAGAAGTTTTCATCATTTTGTCTGCTGTGAGTCCTGGTGTGGCACTGTAGGTTAATGCGCTGGACTGCAAGGTCTCCTTGAACTGCAAGGTCTGCAGTTCAAGCTCACCAGCTGCTCCTCAGAAACCCTGTACAGAGTTGCTATGAGTCAGTACTGACTCAATGGCACTTAACAACAACAACAAATGCTCCACCACATTCATAATTGGCAGGAAAAGTAAATACCCATATACAAATATCCTCTTTCAAACTCATGTATTTGTGGGCATATTCCCACTCTTCTTCCCATACCCATTCAGCCTATGTATTTGTCCATGTATCTGCCCGCAGAACATTTCCAGGATTGTGTATATAACAGTATCTACTTCTATTTCCTTTAGCCCTTTCATACCTCCTTGTGTCTTCACTTGTCTTCATCATCCATCTGCCAATCTCCTTCTTCCTGTATACCACCCTCCCCATCACCCGGGTTAACATTTGTCTACTCTCTAGACACTGAATTACTCTTCCTTCCTTTTCACCCCATGTTTCCTTTAGCATGAAATCCTTTTCTTGAGTTTTTACAATAGTGGTCTCATACAGTATTTGTCATTTTGTGATAGACTAATTTCATTCAGAATAATGTCCTCCAGGTTCATCCATGTTAAGGGTGTTTTGCAGATTCATTGTTATTCTTCAGTGTTGCATAGTAGTCCATGGTGTGTATGTACCAAAGTTTGTTTATCCGTTCTTCCATTCATGGGCACTTAGGCTGTCTCCATCTTTTTGCTACTATGAACAGTGCTGTGATGAACATGGGTGTACACATATCTACTCATGTCATGGTATTTCTTGTGGATATATGCCAAGTAGAGGAATTGCTGGGTCATAAGGTATCTAGTTCCAACTCTTTGAGGAAGTGCCATACCATTTTCCACAGTGGTTTCACCATTTAACAATCACACTAGTACAACAACAACAACAACAAGGTATCTAGTTCCAACTCTTTGAGGAAGTGCCATACCATTTTCCACAGTGGTTTCACCATTTAACAATCACACTAGTAGTGTAAGTGGGTGTCTCCACAGTCTCTCCAAACTCTCATGAGTATTTGTTGTTTCTGGGTGTTTTTTTTGGTTTTGTTTTTGTTTTTTAACTTTGCTCTTTTGTTGGAGTTAGATGATATCTCAGTATTGTTTTGGTTAGCATATCTCTAATGATGAATGGTCACAAGCACTTCTTCATATGCTTGTTGGCCATGTGAATGGCTTCTTTGGTGAAATCTCTGTTCATGTCCTCTGCCTATTTTTAAATTGGGTTGGAACTTGCTCTTATGCATAGAGTAACTAAAGAAAATGGATGAAATGATGAAGTAAAAGTGCTGAACAAAAGATTCAAAGACAAAGTAAAATATTATAATGTAATGTGCAATAACCTGGAATTCAAAAACAGAACGGGACAAACCTACTTGGTATTTCTCAAGCTGAAAGAATTGATGGAAAAAACTCAAGCCTCGAGCTGCAGTACTGAAAGATTCTATGGATCAAAGATTGAATGATGCAGGAAAAGTGAAAGGAATGCACAATCACTGTGCCAAAACCTATTGGTTAATATTCAGTGATTTGAAGGTAATATATTATCAAGAGCTAATGGTATTAAAGGGAGAAATCTAAATTGCATGGGAGGCGTTGGTGAAAAACAAAGCTCCAGGAATTGCTGGCATACTAATTGAAATGTTTCAACAAATGAATGCAGATTCAGCACTGGCAGTGTTAATCAAGCATTTATGTCAATAAATTTGGTAAACAGTCACTTGGTCAACCAATTAGAAATGATCCATATTTGTGCCTATTCCAAAGAAAGGAGAAATGATGGAACAGTATCATTAATGGGGTCCTGGTATGGCACTAGAGGATAAGCACTGGATTAATAACCTCAAGATCAACAGTTCAAACATTCCAGTCATTCCTCAGAAAGCCTATATGAGACAGCTATGAACTGGAACTGATTCGATGGCACTTAACAAAAAGAAAAACCAATCATTATTATCACACGCAAGTACAATTTTGCTGGAGATAA